AAAAAAAAAAAAAAAAAAAAATTGGCATGTGATAAATCAAAAGAATACGAGCGTAGTAAAACGTAAATAAAATCAATGATTAGTAGGTGATAAGCAGGTAAAAATTTATTAGCTGGCATCTTCATTACAGACGCAATTTTAACGGAAGTGCATTAGGTGCATATTTCAAACGCTGTTTATCACGTTATCGATAAGAGTCGATTAGCCGTGCGAAATTGCCAACGTACAAGTGTAACTCGGAATAAGCGAAATAGCGAAAATTTTACGTCACAGTAAAAAACATAAAAAATTCATAAATTTTGTTCAATACAATCTTTTGACAATTCATTTCGAAATTCCATCATATATAATTGCATTGCGACGTAATAGTATATTTCTGATAAATCCATAGCAACAAATATATTGATTCCGATGTATGTTATCACTGTTGGTATATTTCTTGATTAAATATACAAAGAGCGATTATTTCCTCTCAATGATTGATCCAAGATACAAGACGGATCAATAATTCAATCGATCATAAACTACTTGTCAATATTAGAAAATATTTTAATCCTCATTTATTAAATTCAAAATAAAAGATAATCAATACTATACCTATATATCGACATAAATCATCCTTTTATCCGAGCATACGGTAAACCTAATAAAATAATTCATTAATCGATACCGATTTACCGAATTCTTTCTACCTGTACATTATTGGAGGAAAATCAAGAAACCAGATTTACCAGCATCGTGAGAATTTCCACGAAGCCCAAGGAGTTTCCTCGTTTCGATGAATTTTCTTATTTTTCAATTTCAATGACTTCTCGTTGTCCCCTTGAATTTTTTTTTCTTTATTTCCTAATCTCAATGACTTCTCATTGTCCCCTTGAATATCCAGGAACTCAGGGGGAAATACTATTTCGAATGACGCCGCGTTAATTTCAACGAAGGTCGTTCGCAATGCGTCACAATTTATCCTGTTACGGGTACACGGTAACTGACGTGCGCAGAAATGCGGATATCCCCGACCAAATTGAATATCGAAAAAGGTGTCTGAGACGGTATACATATTAGCACTGTTATTCCTCTATGCCGTCCCAGACATTTCTTTCCCTGTATATGCATTGCTCAGAAAAAATACCCATTGTTCAATCGGCGATATTGCAAGAAAATTCAATGCAAGCACAATTTCAATTATTACCTGGATACAAAGAAAAATATCGTGCGAGTTAAGTTCTTGCAATGTATATGGTAATCTTGATGTCTTTTCTATTACAAGAATACATTTCTTTCTTTATCACTTTTAATGGAGTCACGTTTCTCATGACAAATCCACGGTTTACCTATACCTCTTCTTTTTTTCTTCCTTCTCTTTATTCACCTCGTATACAGTTGAGCTCGAAAGACCCATCTAAATCCAAGATATAATGCTCCTTTATTTAAATAAAGGACAGTCGCTACAAAAATTTATGTCGCTACAATCTCGGATACAATATTGTTTATTGCTGCACTTTATTGCATACTATTTTCAGCCATGATGACATCTCTGCGCTGTCATTGCGAAACAAGACGAGGTCGTGACGAAAAATATATTTTTGTTCAGGACGATATATGTCATTTGTTCATAACCAATAAATACTTTGAGTCGTACAATGACACCTCGAAGACTTCCATGAAATCTACGCGAATGATAATGCGTTATATAAAGTATTTGGGGTACGAACAAAGGTGTTAGTCAATTTTTAATAATTCCAAAAATTTGAAGATTATCGATTGGACAAGGGGGTAAAATAATAATTGGAAGATCTAGAGATACGAGTAACAGTGATAACGAGTAATGCAATCAAAATACATAGAGATATCAAAGAATATTGTATCGGCTGATTACTGAAGAAATCGTATAATACATAGTATGTGAAAGTACAATAAAAAAAAGTCAAAAAATTTTTCAAATAGATTTCAAGCCGTGTAAACAATGTCTAAGACGATACGTCTGATTAACTTTTACGAGTTTAGCCAAGAATTTCGGTTAAAGTTGTAAAAGCGGAGATAACGAAAGATATTTAATAAACCAACACATTAATAAATTTATAGTAGGCAAGTTGCACCGACGCAAGTAAAATCCGCAGGTATTATTTAGTCGAAAAAATACGGATTTACGAAATGATCTGTTAATTGTTCGACAGTCGTAAATGAAAAATGTATGCGAAACGAGAGTTAGCGAAAGTAAGTTTGTCGTTGATTCTGTCGCCGAGTTAATAATTCTACGAGTATCATGCGTCGCGACGCCGTAGACACTTGACGCCATGACAAAAATACAATTGCAATCTGCACGACAAGGTTCATTTATTTATTTTTTTTTTCCTTTCTTTTTTTTCTGTAACCAACACTCAGGTATTTTAAGCTCGTCATGATTTTACGACGAGTCGTAAACCGATTGACAGGAATCGTATGAAGTTGCAGCCACTGTATGCACTGAGAGTAATGCACATATGCACTGTATGCACCCAGGCGATAAGTGCACATCTGACAGGTGTGTTTCGCATGTATAATGATATATGTGATTAAGAGCGCGAAAAAAATAAAATTCAATTGAAATTTACGTATTTTGAACTTCAATCATTTAATAATTGATGAGGACCATAATGACTTACCGTATCAGTGACAGCCGAAAAATTATCAGTTCAGCTGTTAATTATAAATAAATTACAAAATTGATCCGTTCCATTGCTTCAGGACAGTCAGTTAAAAAAATAATCGGCACTGGTAAAACTGTATTATACGTTACTGTTGCGTGTACACATTAGCAATACTGAATTATTGATAGACATCAAGACTCTCGTTAAGGGATTCCCAATTGTGCTTTGACTTTACGAGATGTCGAGTGATAATTAATTAATGCTACGTGATTTTTTTCAAAATCAACAGCTCGTATCACCTTAAGACATCAGACGAGTTTTATCGATAATTAAATTGAAGTTATGAATATCTGAAGTGTGAATATCTGAAACTTATTATTGATCATTTTCGAATTTACGTATCTGAATTGAATCTCTGGTTGATGGTTAGACTAGGTCGAGATCAAATTTTGAAAGTCTAAATATTTTGAATTCTCCACCTATACATACCCGTCCTAATTCTTATTCTTATCCTGATTATCTATTGACGTATAGCACTGGACTTCAGTATCTCTGTTTACACTGCCATGTGAGGTGCTGAGCTGTCACTGTTGGATATGTGAAATTTTGAAAAATTTTGAAAATTCAGTGAGTACGTGAGCACGTGTATATAGATGGGTGTGAATATTCCATGTGATATAAATAGGTAATATTGACGTATATGTATTTCCCAATTGGAATTTCATATATGTATATATTTGAGCACATTATAAATCACGTGCTTCAAGGTAATTTTCTGGATAGCGACGGTTCGCGAATAACAATGGAGAATCAAAGTGAAGTAAGAAATACGAAGAAAAATGTCTACGTTGGTAATTTGTGTTTTGAGGAAAATTATGGAATTATGTAAATTGTACTTTATTCCAACAAATATAGAAAAGCGTAACTATAATTTTGTGTGATCACGTCAAACTGTCATTACGGTCGCGTCATGATCGTACTCAAAATAGAAAAGACGAAACCAGAGGTAAACGGTAAAAGAAAAAGAAAACGAATGAAAAAAAAAATAATTTAAAAAAAAAAACGGGTAAAATTAATTTTTTTTTTTAGTTTACAAACAAAAATTTCTACAGCTACAATCATATCGGCTTACGAGGATGTTATATATTGAATTCACTGAAGTCCTTATCACGGATTTAGTAAAGTTACGTCAAACGTATTAGAGATTAAAAATAATTATCATTTGAACTTTCTAAGATACCAGGAACTTAATCTTCGTAGATCAAGAGTGATCTGTGTGATCGAGATTGATCTATGGAGTTTTATGTCACTGTGGAACTCTGACTGATCTATGCCCACGTGCTCAGACTAACGAGTACACGTGGTTTTACAGTACATCGTATAACCCTGTCATATGTGGGATGCAACATACACACGCTCACATATGCCAACTTGCGTTCTATACTGCAAGAGAACGGACTAAGCCTTTTTTATCAGTCAAGTGCGGTCGCGTGTGGCGTACACATCATATGTTCTTCTTCCACCTCATTTTACATTAAGTGAACCTCTAGTCACGGCAGGAGTCACTGAAAATAATAAGTCGAATAGAATTCGCGAAAGACCGTCACTTATAATATAATTTTGGATTTTAATATTGGATTATCTTAAGTTTCATAAATTATTTCCACGACCTTACAAGATCTTTGGATTTATACATATAAAAAAAAATAAGCTGGCGAGTGAATTTTTGGATTTTCAATTTTGGAATTTGAGAATAAACCAAGGATCACACGCCGACACGCTGGCTACTCGTCGAAATGCGCACGTAACGTGAGTGATTTTTTAACATTTTTGCAATCTTTATCTCGGATACGACAGATGGATTAATTTTGATTTTTACGAAAATTCGAAATTTTTCTTTCCCTTTTTTCCAACAAAAAGTGGTATGTAAATCGAAGTGGACTTCTTGAACCGTACTTGACGCACGTTCACATTAGCCGCAACTTTATCCGGTGTCAGTTACTTGGATTTCAAGCAATTTCCGCGAAATTGAAGGACACGCGTATCAGTTTTCATAGTGCGACCGGGCGATTATTTCATATTCCTCACGCGCCCTTGCGAATTGGCACTAAGACATGGAATCGCGAGGACAATGACGAAATGACGTCAATGAACGATGACAGCGCGTGTCCATTAACAAGACTGTTCGACTGACCAGAAGACCTTAGCTAGGTAATTTTGGTCTCCTTTATATCTGGTTGTCGCGCGTCTTATAAGCGGAAAGAAAAGTGCGATAATTTTCGCGCAATAAACTATAAAAAAGAAATGTAGAACATACCGCAGCGATAAACGATAGGGTTATAAAACAGTGATTATCGTCATTACGATTGAAATTCTGAGAATCGACATTATCACGGGAAAGTGAAAAGAAGTTGGGAATTGTTCGTAAAAATTCGTTCGATTAGTTTAGTCACGATTGCGAAAAAAAAAGTTCATTGCAAACTTTACATAATACTGTATCAAGTCAATTGAGGTTACGTAAGGATTTATCACGAGTATCAAGTTTATCATCTTTCTCCAGTAACGGCACGATAATTCTTCACTGATCAAATCAATTTGCACTACGTCTTAGTAAGCAAACTCATCAATTTCGCATGTCCCGCTCATATGCCACACACGCAATTCCACGAACAAAAATTCAAATAATTATTATAATCTAAGAAATAAAAAAAGTCCGACATCCGCGAAACTCCAGAAGACATGAGTTGATTTAAAAATATAGGTCGCCCGTTAAATGTCAAAAAACATAAAATCTTTCGAGCCATTACTCCAATATGGAAAAAATTTACCATAGGGACAGTCTAGAAAAACAGTTTTATGGTTCATCCCGGTAAAAGCCAAAAACCCAATAACGCATCCGAATGTAGAATAATAAAAATTGAAAAGTGGTACCAGGCTCGAAAAAAAAAAAAATGATATTCAAAATAAAAGACACAAATTCAATATTTTCATGATCGATCCATAATGATTTTTGTCTAACGATCCAAAATCAATAATCCCCATGACGTAGGCAATGATAAAGTAATAATTGTTCGGGGACTCCACACGTCGAATGCACTTGGCTACTCTGGCCGTTTGCTTTCTTAAGTAGGTAATTCAATATCTGGTCAGCCAAGATGAAGAATTAAAGACGCGTTTGCAATGAGTTATCTTGGCCGCTTGTCGTTCTGTTCTTTGTGTCTTCGGCGCGAGATCATGTTTGCTGATTTCACGGATAGGATTTCAGTCGAGACTAGACGTCTGCTTTGGGACGATGACACTCTATCCGGCAGGACGAGTTGTCCGATAGGAATGATGACGGATGGTGGTCCATTGTCCTTGGTGTTAATGATCCTTAAAACGAACGTAATGATCTCTACAGGAATACCAACTATTTACAGAGTCCAATGACATGAAATAAAATCTCTACACTATCCGTTGACAATTAAATTTACAGTATAGAAAAATCGGCGATTTGACATATCATCATCCGATTACTATTTTTGACAGATTGCTATACGCGTATGCTAAATGCCTTCTGTTAAGGCATAATTATGAAAAATTAAAATAATTAACACGCACAATAATAATACCTAGCCTAATCGATGATTTCACCATTTAATAAATGATCTACATGATATTCGACGATTGTTTTATACAGTTGATATTGTTGACATCACTGGACGATGACACAAGGCTGAGAATTTAACAATGATAATGATTAGGAATGGCGTCTGTAAATAAAGGTGATTCCCTAGCGGAGAATCTCTAATCAAACAAGATGTCGCGAAGTAACAAAATCGATAAACAAATAATTAAAGAATTCCACTGATTAAAGCGATAGGAGCTCTCGAGATATCCGCGAACAGCATCGATACACCTACAAGGTTGATAACAGCGTACCGAGTGATTAAAGAATAATTTATCGCTGATTTGGATTAATTTTATTTCTAGATTGCAACATTGCAGATTTAATAATGCATCAAGTAAAGTCACTTTTGATTAATGCTCTTGGATCAATTGATTTCTTTCACTTCCTTATTTGTCACTGACATATGTTCCATTATCTATTGCTCGCACGTGACAACAAAATAAAGTGCGCGATTAACCTTAGATAACGTTTATCACTAAATCCAGTCGCATGATAGTCATTCGATTTTTATATTATGTAAATCTCAATAAGTCCTGGCAGCACGTTAATGATGACAATGAAGTCTACTTGAGTGAATTGACTGTCGTAAAATTATGTAGGACAATGATACACTATTGGAATTCGCGCGCGAGTTAATTACATTTTTGAGTAAATTGACACTCGCTCAGCTGATTATTAATTATTAATTAATCTACTATTACAGTGTAAGGCAGACGGGAGTGATAAAACCGGAAACGAATTTGCCACGGTTCGATTATCTAGGAATTGTTTCACTGCCGAGAACATCCGATCTCAATTTTCAAAAGCACAGAATTCGGTAAGTTTGTCCAACAAAATTTTTTCTTCTTTCTCTCTCTCAGTGTTTTTCTCTTTACATTGTTACTGTTGTTGCGAAAATTTTGCATGGTCAATTGAAACGTAAGTAATTATGCACTCATCGATCCTGATAATTGAGAAGACTGCAGCGCGACTGATTATAAGAGTGAGAGAGAGAGAGAGAGAGGGGGGGTAGGAAGGGGGGAGGACGAGAAAACAAGACGTTGCGTCACAAAAAAAAATAGTCATGTTTTTTCCCACGGAACTTCCTAGAGTTCCGATGCAGTTGCACAAGTGCAGAAATGCATTTGCACATTGTTGTATAATACATGGCAATAAATGTTAGCTGCACTGTCTTATGCAATTAGTGCATCGCATCATTATCAATGATTACAGTTCGTAATAAAAATATTGACATCTAAAAATATGGTATACTATATAAAAGAAAATGTTCTTACGAAAAAAAATGGCTTTCTTTTCCAAAAATAGACATGGTCGCTTTTCCGCCCTCGGAGAACGAACCTACCCTATTGAATTTTACCGGCAAGGAACGTGACGGGGAATTGAAAGGCGAGGTCGTTAAGGTCGATGAACTTTTGACTACCAATAAGGGCGAGGTCAACTCATTGACGGCACCTAGAGTCACGATGGCCGTTGATAAGGACAGCCTGGCGCTGACCTTTAACAACGAAAGCGAAAAAATCGTCGAGTTCGGAGACAAAATGAAATCCGTAATGCCGGACGATCAGCTCAAGTCGGAGCACATAATAGTGAAGAAAGTGGCGGGTGAGTAAAAAAAAAAAATAAAAAAAAATTTTTACAAAATTTTTATAAAAAATGTCTCTATCCTTAGCTCTTCTCAAATCGTCCAGCAACAACAACGAGAAAAAGGAGCCGATAAAACAAAGTCCAGGCGGGGGATCATTATCGAGCGGAAGCTCGATCGTCACGATAGCTTCCGTTACGAATTCGGATCCTGATCCTGAATTTCCAAATGGTCACAATCATCAACGTGGGAGAAGACGATCCGTCGTGGAGGAAAAATGGTACCATACCACGCTACAGGTGGCGGTACCATTTTTTATTGCTGGTATCGGTACCATTGGAGCTGGTCTGATATTGGAGGAAGTTCAAGTGAGTAATAATCGGAAAAATTCTCTTCTCTTTCTTTTTTCTCCCCGATAAGAAATAAAGCACAGCCTCGAGGTCGGGCATAAAACTCAGCCACTTAACGATTTAATTACTCGCCACGATTTCGGTACGGACGTCCTGCGGAGTGGAGGGAGAAAATAATAGGTACTTAGCAGTGACTATAAAAAATACGAAAAAAAAATCGGACACTTTGTATCGGTATTAATGGGCTCGTGCTCCCCTTCGAATCCAGCTGGATCGATTCGATTCTGAGTGGTTGAGAGTCTTTTAATAACGTCCCCCTTACCCACCTTCTAGCATAAGATCCACGACAGTGGTACCCCGCCATAGGAACAATAAGAAGCGAACGTGCTGAAGCTATTGGTTATGGGTTATAATCTATAGGGAAGCACTTTGATTTTATTGTCTGACGACTTTAGCGCTTTCCGTTTCTGCTGGTCATTAATTTGATTTGCGATGGCCGGGCGGGAGGGAGTGAAAGTGTATAAATGAGAGAGTCGAAAGAAAAGTGAGTGAAGAAAAATCGAAAAAATTTTTGGTCTCCCATTTACAGCGCTGGCCTGTCTTTGTCGCAATTTCCGAACTGTTCATCTTGGTCCCCGCACTTTTGGGACTCAAGGGAAATCTGGACATGTGCTTGGCATCGCGTCTCAGCACTCAGGCCAATCTGGGAAACATGAGCAGCTGTCGTGAAATCGTGAAAATGATCGTGGGCAATGTCGCTTTGGTGCAAATTCAGGCGATCGTCGCTGCGATTCTGGTGTCGCTTTTCGCGGTGTCCGTAGGCGCCGTTATGAAGGGATCTTTCGTTTGGAACAACGCGCTCCTATTGGCTGCGGCGAGCGTATGCACCGCGACGAGTTCCTGCTTCATTTTAGGTGATTGAAAAGAAAAAAAAAAAAAAAAAAAAAAAAAAAAAAAAAAAAAAAAAAAAAAAAAAAAAAAAAAAAAAAAAAATTTTGCGAACTCAAAATTCGTAAATTTTTTATTCCGTGGTAATGCGAATTACGCGAGAGGCTAAGGATTGGTGTTTTATAAAAATAATAAAATTTTACAGATTTTGTCATGATCGCGGTGATACTGGTGTCGCATCAATGCAAATGGAATCCTGATAACTTGGCCACACCCTTAGCTGCATCTGTCGGAGATGCAGTTTCGATAACCGTACTATCGACAATTGCATCTGCTTTATATTTGTATCTGGACAATCAAATATGGATCCTCTATATTGTTCTTACTGGTTATATTTTGCTACTGCCAGTCTGGATATGCGTGGTATTGAGAAATAAATATACTCGAAACGTGTTAACTTCAGGATGGACGCCCGTACTGTCGGCTCTGTTCATAAGCGGGTAAGGAAATATCAAATTAAGCCCAAAGTCAAATTTCATTATTTTTGGACACAATTTTGATCAATCAATAATTCCATTTTTTTTTTTTTCAATTTCAGTCTCGGTGGTCTGATCCTTGATCAAGCCGTAAACGTATTCGACGGATTCGTAATATTCCAGCCGATCATAAATGGCATTGGCGGAAATTTGGTTTCCGTGCAAGCCTCAAGAATTTCGACCGTCCTGCATCAAACGTCACTCATGGGTATTTTACCGCCACACTCAAAAATGTGGGTGTCGCCTTGGACCGCGCTTTTCAATGGAGGTTCGTTTACAAGCATAAAAAATCATGCTTACAAAAAATGACAGATTAATCATATATACAAATAAGCCACGTGCTACATAATCTTGTTTATTTTTTTCTTTTGACAGTTCCTTACGCCAAAACTGCTAGAATACTTATATGTATGTCTGTACCGGGACATTTGGTATTTACTTTCGCAGCCGATTACATAAACTGGGGTTACTCAACCTTACACGTATACTTCGTAGTGAGTTACGTAACAGTGGCGGTATTTCAGGTAAGAAATAAAAAAAGTCATTCTGACAAAAAAAAAATATTAAAATCATTCAAATACAAGGAATAATTTTTTTTTTTCTCATCGTACTTACAGGTCACGCTTTTGCTCTATATTGCACATATCATAATACATGGCATGTGGAAATACAAAATAGATCCTGACAATTCCGCCATTCCGTATCTGACAGCTCTTGGCGACCTACTCGGTTCCATGTTCCTAGCGGCAGCTTTCTGGTTCCTCCAGCAAATAAACCAGGAATACGGTGACTACTGAGCCACAATCACATTGGCCGTAGTACGAGCTACTGATTGATCACACAGTACCATATGAATAACTATCCAATATTTTAATATTGGTCTGATACTCGATTAACGCACGTTCCAAGTTACCGGAAGTGCGACGCGCGGTCGCAAATTTTTGGAAAAAAATTTGCACGGAAAAATTTTTCGCGGATACTTTTTCAGTTTCACAAAGTGGGCGTTATTGTCTTGGCACGTTAAATTGAATATTTTATTCTCTTATCCGATATAATCGTTTCTGCGTAATTGCCAATCTACGGAATTGCGAATTTTTCCAGTTGGATTATGTTCCTCTTTTTTTTTTACCCCCAACTCGGAGCTGCACTGTAGTTACGTGCACTCGTATGCATCCGTGCTATGTGCCGATTTCGTGGATGTAATAGGAATTCATATTTTTACACGTACGACCTTGTAGTTATTGCGAATAGACTCTTGAAAAAAAATCTCTGTATCACAGATATATTCCCATGGTAGGGAAGAAAAATTAGTGCAATTATTAAGCAACTGTAGATGCGGTCCGATACTTAATTGTATCATTGCGATTATCGTTGAACCGAAGGAGGATAAACGGATGATAAGTATGGCGAGCGAGAGGATGAATATGGTAAATGCATCCATTTTCAGAAATCTGTATATATTTATATAAACATATTATATAGACATTATATCTATATATTTTATTCCCATACGAACAAAGTGTACCTGTAAGTTTAAGCATACAACAAATCGTATACAATGTATAACGCGTATGAAATAACATTTTACAATAAGCGTTCTCGCACTCCTCTTAGAGATTTTAATTATGTTTTTTTGTTATTTTTAATTCGTTACACGAACAATTGTTTATTTATTTAAAAAATTTGCGTGGCGTAATTTGTAAGATTCGACTCGCGTATATCGTCGTTGGCGGCTGAAGGTAAACTGTCAGTGATATTACTGACTGTATTATTACGTCAAAAAAGAAAAATCATTGTAAGAATGTCATTACGTTAATAGAAAAAAAATGTGTGAAAAAAGATTGTATTATTAAATCCTTTAAAGTATGATATGGGATGGTAATTATTATGTAAAAAATTTGATTTTAAACTCGAAATGTCAATCGATCTTTCAGGATCCTATTACTGTTTTATCATACACTAATACCCTTTGTTGGGTATTGTTGACCGAAGATAAATATTTCATACCGCACGCAGATGCTGCCATCTGTCAACTGGAGGTACTAGATGCGACTCATAGATGGCAGCATTTTCGATGATGCATCGGTCGGACTGGCGCTGCACCGAACACACGAACTGCATTGAATTACAAAAATAATTATTATGAAGAAAATTATGAAGTATTGTTGTTCTTAAATTTTTTAAATTAAAAACTGAATCATCAGTCTTTTAATACTTGATGATCAGTGTGTCGCTGTTTAGAATTTATCAGTCCCTGTTGCCTCTTAAAGAAATTTCATCTGGTTTTACATCATTAAAAATCCTTGGACAAAGCATTGTTGTAAATTGCTGAAGTCACGCATGAATTTTCATTGGAAAAATTTCATCACGGTTTCAGGTAGAGGAGCATGGAAGCGAAACCTGTTCGAAGAAAAAAAAAAAGCGTAGCAAGTAAATATAACGCAATAAATAACCGGTTGCAATGATCGCGAAGTCAAGTAAGATCGTTCAGTTTCAATGGATATAAAATTCTGAGTGTAAGAGTGTAAGAAAATCAATTCGTAATAACGTGCGTAAAAAGGCAGATGCAAAAAAAGGCATTAAAATATAAACGTCAGTTTCCCACGGCCTTAATCAAAAATCCAATCGAAACGACAAGAGAAATTCATTCAAAGCGTTCACGTAGCGACTCGGATCAAAGAAACAATCGGCACCAGAAGTTCTTTCATCACTGCATCGTCCCTGCAGGTGCGACTCAAGACAAAAGTGACTCGGAACCCCGTGCTATATTACTGAACGAGTAATGAATTTTTTGAAAATTCAAAAAGTTTATAATACCCTCTTAAAACGTTTCAAAGTCCAAAATACCGAATTTACGCCATCAGAATCCAGCCTAGAACATTCAAAAAATTTCACAATCTTCCAAAAACTAAAGACCAGGATTCCGTAACGACTAAGTACGTTCCTGGTATGCGTAATGGCGCTGCGCACAGCGTCCCCAGTAACTGTACCAGACCTGAACGACAAAGGCGACCAGCAATTAACCGTCAGTCAAGCCAGGGTCATCTGTGCATTAAAATGCATTTTTCCCGCGGTGCATAAATAAGAGTGTCAAGTGCATGAGTGAATCAAGCATATCACATACAAAAGTAGCTTGTATAAATCTAAAATAAAAACTTTCCCAGAACCGTCGTCCCTGGGCGAGGGCCCCGACCGAATAGTGGATGGAACCCTGTGGCGACTGGCCCATATGGTACGCTCCTGGCTACTCCATTGGTTCGATAAACATCCTCGAGCAGTGTGTCTCGGCGGTGACATGTGCTCGCTCGGCTGCCGGATTTACGGCAAAACGAACCAACATTTGTAGAAGCTTGTTGGCTCGTTTACTAGTGCGTACAAGTTCCTGATACAAACAAAGTCCAACAAGCCTACTGTTCTGTTGTGTTCTTGGTTTATGGTTGTCTTCATTTCATTTAGAAACAAACATTTCACGTCCTCTCGTTATCGGCAGCTTCTACTATATGTGCTAAGAGTGATTTTGTGTGCCTGTGACTGTACTAACTATCCTACAGTTAATTTTCTTTACGATTCTGATGCCAGCGACAATACAAAGCCACTTTGTATTGCTGCTCGACCGATACACAAGTACAAGGTATTATCATTGTCAAATTCTTAAAATCGTTCAAAATTGTCTTTTACGTGGTTTAGCACGAGAAAAATATATTTCTTCAATTTTTCTCTGTAATTCCACGCTATCGCGTTTGTTTTGATAGTACGCCTGTGATTATTACTCGAGGTACAGTGTGGGTGGAAATTCCAAGTATCTCAGGAATGTGAAGTATGCAGCAATTGCCGCGGCATTTTACGTGCCTGTTTTCTTTATATTATTTCCTTTTTCTCTTACAACTATTATTTTTCATCCTACATTCTCTTTCATAATATTCCGCGCCTTATTCATACTTCAACCGATATCACGCTCGTTTCAACTACCATTTTCGAGTATAGTCAAACACAAAAAGTTGACATTGACAATCAATGCTACTTTCCAACTTTGTACTTGGATCACGATTATCTTACCTTCACAATTTACATTTCCTACGAATTTCACTTTTACGTCCTATCCAAAAATATATATATATATAATATACTTTATCTGTCGTTGGAAACTTGGCTCCTGACACGCATTTTTGTACAGACTATACTTATGGCGCGTATATATACGTAACTTGTACTTGTACGAACGGACATGTTCATTTTATTCGCATTATCCAGATCATACCAATTGGATAATATCGGCGACAATGGATTCAACAGTTACCTATACTACGAACGTCAATGAAACACCACAAGTTAATTGTTCATCCAAGAAGTAGTAAACAGTCGTCATGCCTGATTATAGCACGAGAAATATCTATACTATACAAGGAGTCGCGTAATAAAATTACAATAGAATTTCCATGACAATTATTTTTTTTTTTAAATTTTTTTATAATCAACATCTCGGAACATACTCGTAGTCTAATTTTTCTCATAAGATAAATAAGAGCGCGTATCTTTTTACGAATGAATTATTCGTTCGTGACACTCCAGCCCTTTTTATCAGAATAGTCACGAGTCACCAAGAAGATACATGAAAGCCTGTTAAACGCCTTTGACACTATAAATCGCTCTTAACTTGTCCTAATGAGTCATTTTCGTCATCGTTCCTATTAATAGATACGTCATTGTAACAAAGTCTAACAAAAATTCCCTCTGTGCCATTTTCAAAGCATTCGGTTCTCCTCGCTACGCTCGACTATATCGATGAACGTTGAAAAGAAAATACAAATTAAAGATACAAAAAGTATGAAACGAAGCTCGGGAAGTAAATAATTAATGAATTAAAAGAAATTACATTAATCGAGTGCAGCAGGTAATATTGCTCTTAACGAGTCAATTAAAAGATAATGGGTATACTGATTATTTTTATCTAATTAAATCAAAATGTATTTTTAGCACAATTTTTTTTTTTTTTTTTTTTTAACTTAATCACACAATTTTGTTTTTACCTCGTTCTCACAGTCGTTACGCTCGTTACGTCTGCACGTGTTTACTTTACTATGTGCCAGGATATAATGAGTTACTATCAATTATTACTGTTAGTTGATACGCTTCGCCAAGGCTGTAAGTTATTGCAACAATATACACATTGTTGATAACAATGTACACCGTGCAAAAGAATGCTTTGTCATCGATATCGATCGAGGTCAAAAACTTTGCTGGCTAAAAATTTGAAAATTTTTATCTTTCCACCTGTGTTATCTCTCTTAGATAATCCTAATCTAATATATATATACGCTCCGGTATAAAATAATAATAATAATAATACTAACCCGTACGTTCAACAAACGTACTGTATACTCAATTATAGGACACCCGTTATTATTATTCATTATACGCATATATTATTTAACCCACGCATAACCTCTTAATCCATATAACAGGTGGGACTGATCATTATAGGAAATTGATTTAAAATTTTCCTACGTACATCCTGTTACGTGTTGTACCGTCACTGACTAACGTATTACTACGTGTATTGTATAATATAAGGTATAGTGTAAGTTTACGAATGGCGACAAGACGCGGATGTCTGTAATGTTTGTTCAAATGTGTATTATCGTTACGTGGTAGATATAAAGAGGCTGCTGGGAACACGTGTTAATGCTGATATCAGCTGATAGGTACGGAGAAGATGCAAGGGCGTAATAAGAAAAAAAAAAGTGCATCGATCGCTAAGGATGCAGCTGCAGTTGAAAATTTCAATCCTGTCAAAGTGCATAGTGAGAGGGGCCTTTTCAGGTTTTTTTTTAGACAATTTTTCTTTGAACTCCGGATAGAAATTACTTTGCTCCTTTCGTTCTTATTCTTTACGTCTGCTGTTGATAGCAGTTTTTCTCTTTTTTTTTTCTTTTTTTTTTTTTTTATTTCTTTGTTACTGTCGCCTGGTACCACTCGCTTTGAGACCGGACGAGTCCGAGATTAATGATTGAAGATTCATCCGAGTGTGGCTGTTTGTTTGGGATGCTGTAACGTTGAGATGGGAAACTTAATTTTCTTTTAGCTGACTAATTAATATTTTTACGTAATGACGTAAGGGGGATATTTATAGTATCTTTGGAACGATTTGCTTAGGCAAATGGTAGTAAATTTTTTTTCTTGAGATTTAAGTAAAACTGAAAAGAGAACTAAAACAGAAATACTTTATTCCTTTACTTGTTTGTCGAAAAAATATATAATTCGGTCCAGCTGGTAATCGTATCTCGTCGTGTACTTGTACGAAATAAATGTTTATGTCGAGGAGAGAAAGAGATAGAAAAGAAAGTATTCCGGCAGAGAAATTTCTAAGCTAGATTCTTCGCTTGATTTGACTCGGGTGAATGTATTTTGTGTAAGAAAATGTAGTTTCACTGAATTACAAAAATTTGATTAAAAAATTACCGCAACGTGAGGTCAGCTGCTGTTGTGTCTTTTGAAAAACCATAATTTTTTACAAACTACCCATAAATATAAAAGTCAAGCAGAGTAATGGCGAAACTTGTTTTTCTTTTTTCGTCAAGCTTCAATCGAATCGAGAACACCGTACGTGACTATAATATAGATAAACATATGTGGTCACCATAGTATACAGGAATAGCATATGGGTATATGGATATCGTATGTGACTGCTTCACCTTGAGTCTGTTCAATGATTTAACGCATCGAGAATTAAAATGAGTATTTAGGTACGTGTTACGACGACCAATATTATTATTATTTTAAAATCAGTCATCAAGTCGTTCACCGTCGTTCCACGTGGTTCGTGTTTGACGTTTCGAAACGTCACTTTTGGATTAACGACTATTTGTAAATTCTTCCAGAAATAAAGTTGGGCGATCGTATGGGACCAATTAAAGTCTCTAACACGCGTGAGAGCTGTCATCACGTTTCAGTGTTTATGGGTTTGACTTGGCACGGGTTGGCTTGTTTAATTGGAAATCAATAAACAATTGATCACTCAAGAATTTGCACGTTTAAATCTTACCACGAGTCTACGGCTTTTAGTTTCAATGTGAAACGTTAAGATCTTGAATTATTACAGCAGCGATCGTTATCGTATGTTAATTATGAAAACACAAACGGCTCGTGGTGTTAAAGTACTTAGAGAGGCGTAAAAATACCATATGATAAAATCTTACTTGATTAACAGCCAAATTGACGGCGTGGTTAATTATTTTTTCAATATTTTGAAAATTCAAAAACAAAATTTATCAGACAAACGACCCTGACGAGTATCGTCAAATTAATTGTATTGAATTAATTAACAGGATGCAGAACTACCAGCTGAGGTACGTCGCATTCAAATAAATGGGGCCCATCCGGAACGAGGAGCGGATGTGACGTAGGATCGATCAGATAGGAAAAAAGGATGTTTGGCTCGAAGACTGGTACCTCGACGTTTTACACGGATCTGCTCGAGTCCGATAACGACGAGGAGACGATCCTGCGGGATTCCTGCCGATCCGGAAACGCCAAGCGCAATTCCCGACTCCTGGAGCAGCAAAGCGGCACCAGCGAGGATGGCAATTCCCAGGACTCCCAGGACTCGGCCGTCGGGGCTGACGAGAATCTTCATCATCACCAACAGTACCTGCGACACTCTTTTCACAGAATCGCCAGTTTCGGCGGTTTTCCCAGGTTCCAGCCGTTCGTCATGTCAGCGTCGAGTCCTGGTGGAATCCTGGACTCCAACGCAACGGCCACCCTGGAACGCACAACCGTGGAGACGTCGTCGATCGTCAAAATGACGCACAGCGTCCTGGAGTACAGGAGTAGGAAACGCTCGCTCTTCGCCCGAAGATCGACGCCAATTTCCGATTTCATAATAAAGCATCCTCGCGATTTATTCTTATACCGACGAGATGGGAATAAAGTTATTTTTTTTTTTTTTTTTTTTTTTTTTTTTTTTTTTTTGAGTGGGTGATGCTCCAATTCTTTACCTTAGTCGAGTATTTTGGTACTGGAATAAATTTTTGAAAGTTTCAAGGTAATTCGGATCTGTGATAATTTTTGAACTTTTTTGAAGATACACATTTAGTGCAGCATGCACTTTATTATGTGCTTAAGGGAACGTCCGGGCACGTGCTTGGTATTCGAGTGTTCGTGTTCGTGTGTTTGAGCCATTGAAAATTCTTAGAAATAGATCTAGATCCGCTATACTCGAATTCTAAATAAGTCATCGCGCCGTGAATTCCGAGCCTGTGACTTCTTTGCTGTCTAATTTTGGATTTACTATATTTCTTTTGAAAATTTCGACCAACGTCCACGTCCTCCCACCAGTGACACACGAATAGACTCTTAAATATAATTTCTTAATATTATTAATTGCAAGTAAATAAATATCGCAAGATTTTCATTTTTTAATAATAATTTGACAATAAAGCAACGAAGAAGCTTCTAAGTTATTTTCACTGAATATTCTTCTGCGAATTCACGAGACATCTGGCTTCAGTTACCAGGAAAATCAAGCACGTCGATAAGCCTAATGATCATTTCGATCACTCGAATATCCACTCACGCAGTACGTTAACAAATTTTTTTTCCAAAAATAATGATCATTAATCCACCTCAATTATATCTCAATTAGTTTTTAATGATTTTATTAATATAACAACCAAAATCAATGACTATTTCAAACCGTCATCTACGATCGATACGCGAGCACTGACTGTAGCTAACGCCATTCTGTATCACTGGAACTCTCTGATAAGATTTAACGCGATACGAAATGCAGCCACTGATAAGGTCCATGATAGCAGTATAACCGTGTTCACAAAGTGTAGAGGATTGGACGCTTCTGCGTTGCTCCCCTTTATCGTGTTCGCCGAAAGCATAGAGGTTATAAATATTTAAATTTAACAAAAAAAAACATGAGTTGAGAATCTTCAAAGTTCATCAATAATGGCGGAAACTACTTGGTGGCGGTGGAGTCTTGGCGCACCGCCGAATTATCACAAATATTCGTCCAGCACGTTTTACTGCGATATCGATTTATCGATCGGTGACAGGTAAATTCAGCGTGCACTTGAAAATCTTCTTGACAGTTTGAAAATGTATATTTTCGAAAAATCTTCATTTGCAGATTCACGTTTGTCCGTTTTATACCTGATAACTGCATATAGTCATTTTTTTTTTTTTTTTCAAAATTTACGTATTCGCGTATGTCTGTATATTCAGATGAATTTTATATTTATATCTACTGGTAGTTTCAAACTCGATATTCACACGTCATTTATACGGTTCACTGTACCTCTTATAGGGAGACGGGTTACGCAGCATCCATTAATCAGCGCAATTGACCTTGTCGGCGCATTGAGCACACAAGGTGGAAAGTACTATTTCGATCTATAAAAGTGTTAGAAAACGAAAGCATAAAGCGAGTTTTCATGAAACAAATTTTTTTTCCAAAAATCATCACCAATCCTCTTATTTTATTTTAATACCTCGTATTTTTTGTCATTCCATAATTTGCGCTTCCAATGTTGCAGGTACGTAACCACCGAAAGGAGCTCTCATCAGTATGAATTGGACGCATACGCAATCAGCGAATCGGAGAGCGAAGAGGAGTCCGAAGAGACCCGATCGTCGGAAACCGATTCGGCGATAATAGCGGATCAGATCGACGAAACGGAACGCAAAGAGAAAATTCAAAAGCACAAAGACACAGCGACCGCAAGACGAATAAAGGCACGACACGTTGCCGAAGAGTTATTGGCGACCGAACGCAACTACGTGAACATATTGCATCTGATCGATCAGGTCTTTCAGTTTCGGGTCGACCAAGAGAATCGAGCTCATCCGATGTTCCCACCGGAAACTGTGCAACACATGTTCTCGAATATCAAGTCAATTTATAAATTTCACAATGACTTCCTGCTGCCGCAATTGCAGTCGCGTATGAGCCAATGGGAAAGCGATCCAAGAATAGGAGACATAATGAAGAACTTTGCGCCATTTTTGAAAATGTATACAGAGTACGTGAAGAATTTCGATTACGCAATGAATCTAATAAACACGCTGCAGAACAAGATTCCGCGATTCGCCGCGATTATAAATGAAATTCAAAAGCTCGAGGAATGCGCCAAATTGTCATTGCCACATCACATGCTAAGTCCCATCCAAAGGTTACCCAGGTACGAGCTTTTGCTCAAAGATTACCTCAAGAATCTGGACGATGATAATCCTGATTACGCGGATACCAAAAGTGAGTTTGCCATTTTTCATTATCAGTCGCGTTATTCGCCCTGATTCAAAATTTGCGCGGAAGCTTTCGTTCGCGCTATTCTGAGTCTTCACGATGTTAAGCTTGAATAATTTCTTTTTTTTTTTTTTTTTTTTTTTTTTTTTT